AGTAGAGGTAAGCAGTCGTCACCGCCGCACGCTGCAATTCATAGCCTAGTAGAAATGTACCACTCACAGCCTAGTAGAGGTGTACCATGCACTCACAGCCTAGTAGCGGTTTACCACTCACAGTGTGTGCCTAGTAGAGATGGCACACTGCTTTTTGCGATTTTTTTGCGATTTATGTGAATTTTCTCGTAACTAAAACAACGCAACGTTCCCGTCGACGTTCCACGAGAGAACACCAGCTTTATAGCACCAACGTTGGAACTTTTATTTCCGACACGACGCTGATGGTCGCGGCGCCCCCTTTATTTTCCAGGTGCTGTCTCCGCGGATGGACATCGGGATCTATGCTAGCAGCAAGCGCGCCAAGAAGAGGTTCAAGGAGGAGAAGGAGAGGGACAAGGATTCGCACCCGGCCGGAGGGGAGAGCAAGGGGGACGATTCCCGGGATCCGGCGGCCGTGGTGAGTCATAGCGGTGTTTACGCTGCACCCCCATGTTTACACTGCATCATTCCTCTAGTAGGGCTAACCCCCAGATATACTCTGAGCTGCACCGCCAGTGTTGACGCTGCTCCGTGCCACTAGTAAAGCTAACGTTTCACCCAAGGATAATATGAGCTGCATCCCTATGTTTACCCCCGCACCATTCCACTAGTAGGGCTAACGTTTCACTCTGAGATACTCTGAGCTGCACCCTCAGTGTTTACGCTGCTCCATGCCACTAGTAAGGCTGCAGCGCTATGTTTACCCCCGCACCATTCCACTAGTAGGGTCTAACGGCATGCTTCCATTTCTCGCCGGTAGGTGGCGGCGTTCAAGGCGGCCGAGGCGGCGGAGATTGACGCGATGGCAGAGCTGAGGATCAGGAATCGGCTGAAGCAGTACGAGGACAAGGGCGAGGCGAAGTACTGCGTGTGCCGCAAGGGTCGCGGCGGCTTCATGCTGCACTGTGAGCTCTGCCAGGACTGGTTCCACAGTGAGTTATATACGTACTGTCTGTGTCTCACTCGCTCTCTCTGTCACTCTCTTTCTTTCTCTTCTCGGTCGCTCCATTCGTAGCTGCGTCGGCCTCTGCCTCTCTCTCTCCTCTCTCAATCCCTGCTCATCTCTCCCCCCTCCGGCACCCTCCTCCCTCCCTCCCCTCCCTCGCCTCCTCCCAATCTCGGGGTATTAGGCTCTGGCTCTCTCTCTCTCTCTACTCTCTCTCTCTCCTACTGTCTGCTCCTCTCCCGTCGCTCTCTCTCTTTCTCTCTCGCCATCCGATCTCTTTCTATCTATTCTCTCATCTGTTTCTCTCTGTGTATCTCTCCCCTTCGCTGTGTGGCTCTGTCTCTCCCTTTCTCTCTCCACCCCTCTCTGTGTACTTTCTCTTTCTCTCCATCATATCTCCTCTTTCTCCTCTTCTAGTCTCTCCTTTGTCGTTTCTCTATGAGATCTCTCTTTCTCTCTCTATCTCTCTTTCTCTCTCTATCTCTCTTTCTCTCTCTATCTCTCTTTCTCTCTCTATCTCTCTCTCTCTCCCCATCTCCTTATGTATTCCTAACCCTAACCATAACCCTAACCCTAACCCTAACCCCAACCCTTACACGTATAGTACGGTCATCCTCGCTCCCTCATCTCCGCTTGCAGGTGCGTGCGTGCCGCTGCCCAAGGTCGGCATGCAGAAGAGCCGGCTGACGACGACTGCCGCGCTGCAGGTGGTCAAGGACCTCAAGTTCCTGTGTCCGCTGTGTCTGCGCTCGCGCCGGCCTCGCCTGGAGACGATCCTCTCGCTGCTCGTGTCCCTGCAGAAGCTTCCCGTGAGGCTGCCGGAGGGAGAAGCTCTGCAGTGCCTCACGGAGCGCGCGATGGGCTGGCAGGTAGGTGGTGGCAGGGTGTGAAGCGAGGGTGAGAGATGTGAGGAGAGAGAGGGAGAGATGTGAGGTATGGGGAGAGAGAGAGATGTGAGGTATGGGGAGAGAGAGATGTGAGGT